AGCAAGTGAACATTTTGTCTTTAAAGTTGACGTACAGTTTTCTTATCTTTCTTATCTTTATTTATTTATATTTTAAAAGTACTTTATTCTTGTGTGATTTTTGTGTGATTTGTATATTTTATGCATAGCTGTGGGAGGTGTGTAAGGAGGCCAACAGTCTTCTGCAGCTCACTATCGCCATATCTCTCTCATGGATGTGTATAACTACAGCTTTATATCTCATTGACGTATTTGCTTATCCATGCCCGGTTTGAAAAGATTCCTTCAGTAACTCCACTCACTTATTCAATTTCACATCCAGATACATCACTTGACTGAAGCCAAAGATGTCTAACATGCTGACATGGCCGCTACCTGAAACAGGATTTGTCAAACTCTTTTGTATGCTTATGACTTTGCTGCATGCTCCTCTGACTTCACTGTGTGTATGTGTGTGTGTGGTGGTATGCAGGGTGTGTATGCAGTGGGGAATTTCCAGCCCAGTGAAGATCGGTCCAGAAGTCGACCACCTGCCCCTACCCTGAGGGAGCCCCCCCTCTCCTCCCTGCCCAATGTCAGCCAGTCAACAATTAGCAACAGCCACCAAGGTAAAACCATGCCTGCCAGATGTCTCTTAGATACTCTACTACAATACATTTCCAGAAAAAAATGCTACTCATAACCCATATTATGATATGAACGGAGAATCTTGTGGTTCAGCTTTGTTCAGTCCCAGATGTCTGAGTTTGGGCATGCTAATGAGCATAGTCACACTGTGTACCAACAATGCACTGACTTTGAACAAGGTGAAATGCCATAAACAACAAATCCAAGGAGAAAATATATGTTTGCTCTGCAATTAATCTGGACAAAGCTAAGCACAGAGAAAAAGACATCAAATTGTAGGTCATTGAGGACTAAAATAAATGTGCTAACAAGTGTGCATTTACTTTTTTTAAATATATATTCCCATCCTAAAACATTTTTATCATTCATTCTGACTAATCCCCAGGATACATCATTGATGATGTGTCCCAGTGCATCTGAAGATCTATGTTTTGAACAAGCTAATTACTTACCATTAACAAAGAAATATTTGGCCCATCTATTTAATGTTTATAGATTTACAAGCAGTTTCTTACAGGTTGACAAATCATTTGGTAAACATTGACAGATACTTTATATACTATATAAAATGTTATCATGTGTGCAACTGTCAATACATTTTCAATGTCAATGTAATTATCATCTCTTATCAGCAATACTAAAATATATAAATCCTGAACTAATTGTTTTATACTAAACATACTAATGATACAATAGCATCAATTATAGCATTACTAATAGTTAGTAAACATTATTCATTATCAATTTAATTGTTTGTTAACAGTAAAAAGGAAGTTTTTTTTTCCTTTACTTGCCGCTGTCGCCCAGTAATGGTAAATGGTAAATGGACCTTGTATACCGCCTTTCTAGTCTTCCGACCACTCAAAGTTCTTTTACACTACGTGCCCCATTCACCCTTTCACACACATTCACTCAGTGATGGCAAAACCCATCAAACAGAAACTAACTCATTCATACATATTCACACACCGATGCACAGCATCGGTAGCAATTTGGGGTTCAGTATCTTGCTCAAGGATACTTTGACATGCATGCAGGAGCCGGGGATCGAACAACCTTCAGATTAGGGGACGACCCGCTCTGCCTTTGCACCACAGCCGCCCAAGTGCTTGCTCATGATGGGAATTGTTGGGACTCTAGACCTACTCTATTTAAAAAGTGTCCTAAGATCATGAAATGGCGCTATACAAATACAATTTTATTGAATTGAATAATAAAACTATTAACTAGTTTATTTAACTATCAATATACCATTTATTATTGAAGCTTACTATAAAGTCTTACTTTGGGATCCTGGTGTGGCATCAGCATTAACACAGGCGTTGAACCAGACCAGAGCCAGAAAGCAAAGCTTTCAGTTTACCAGTGGATCTATGTTCTAACCCTCGTCTGTGGTCATGAGCTTTGGGTAATGGATGAAGAAGATTGCAAATACTTATCTTACTGCCTCTGCGACACGGTCTCTGATAATGTGAAGAAAATGGATGGATGAATGGATTAGCAGTTTATACCCTCCCCTGTTATCCAATTATAGGTCACCACACCCTAGCTCCAAGCCAACCAGAGCCCATCATTACGAGGACCTCTTCCCACACTTTGTCCCCCCACCGGCCAGAACCCATCCTGACACGAAGCTCCTCCTACCGAGAGCCCTCTATGTCCAATCTGAAGAGAGCAAGTGCTGAGGTGGAGGTGATAACTCCGTCCAGTCCCATGGGCAACCATGACAACATGATGACCTTCAGCAGCAGCACATTACCAAGGTAAATATTTTTAGCGAATTCTTTATCCATCAAGGTTTTGGTTGGGGGTGAGAAAACAAGGTGCTAGAACTTTGCTTACCCATAATACAAAATGTTTAACTGTAACACATTGCTCCACCTGTTAAATTTTGCAATAGACTTTACTGCTCTATATTAGGGATAGAAGACTCCATTTCGCATACCTTTTTAGCATGAAAAGCAATTGGAAGAGACCACTGCAGGTAATAAGTTGATCCAGTTTACTGCAGTAATGGCAGTTTAAAGGACCACTGTGTAGGTCTAAGTGGTATCCAGTCGTAAAGTTGCAGATTGCAATAAATAAAATAATACTCACCTTCTTAGCATGTAACTATGGTGGCTGTGAGACTGCTGAAAAATGGTCCGATCTAGAGCCAGTGTTTTGTTCGTCCGTTCTGGGCTACTGTAGAAACATGGCGGACTCTGTAGAAGAGGATCCACTTCCTCTGTAGATAAAAACAACTCAATCTAAGGTAAAAAAAAAAACACAATCATTCTTATTTTCAGGTGATTATACACTGATGAAAACATACCTTTGAATATTATATTCTCTAAATGTTACACACTGGACCACTGGACTGGAGGTTTGGAGAAATTATCCATATTTCAATACATATGGCGTACATATGTTAAAAGTCCTGGGATCCTGTAGGTGTCTCCCAGGATTTGGCGATATAACAGGATACAATACATTCAGAGGTGTGTTCAAGTAGATTGTGGGGTTTGTAGGGATCTACAGCCAGGATAATCCAAGGATTTATCAGGTGGTTCATTTGGGGAGCATACACCACAGCCAGACTTTTGGCCAGTGAAAGAGCTGGAGGCCTGAGAGGATTTTACAGAAGTGTTTCAATTAGAAATATTGGAGTAAAAGTATGTATGTGTTTTGGATTTACTGGGCATATAAGCAGATAGCGGAGAATTAGATTATGCTGCAGGGCTGCAGAACAACTTCTCTTCAGTTTTGTGACTTTTAATGATGTGAGTTGGAGACTGACTTTAAGGCCCTGACTTCCTGATGGAATGGGAGAACCAGCCTTGTACCTTAGCGTATGGGCGGGTGAAAAGCTAACTCATGATGATGAGTCCTTTCAGCTAACCTGTTAATTTATTAGCAATATCCCACACAGTGGCTAAGCCAACTAGTATTGGCACTGTCTCCATAGAAATTACATTTATATACAACTGATTTGCAATCAGCAAATATGTTTTGAGGGAAACGTAATGCCAACCAAATTGCACTTTCTTCTAACATAATGAGGAAGTGTTGTTTAAAGTTTTAATTAACATACCTGTGAAGTCTCAAAAATGTATCAGTAAAATGTATACTTGCAAAGTATTTCATTTGTTTTCCACCGAAATAGTCAATCTTGCAATACTATCCATTCGTAGTAGCAGCATTATTCAAAAGTCAGCAGTGACTTGAGACATAAGGTCTTTCATTAACATTTAACCAAAATAACAGCCTTTCCTAGACCTTAACCAAAGTGCTTTTGTTGCAGGAGTCTAAACTGGAATGTGGTTTGTGCTCGCGCTATCTGTCCCAACCACCTCCTTGCAACTCTAAACAATAGATCTTCTTTCCTTAATGTTACACACTGAACATGCATCATATTTCCACAGCTTTTTTAAGCTCTTCTATGACCACGAGCAATCTGTCTGCTCACCCATCATCTTTGTCTGTGGTAGAAACGGGTAGAAAAAGAGATTTGAGATGTGATAGAATTGCCTGTTCAACTGAGGAAGGAAAATAAAGTATCTGTGTGGGTGTAACTGAGAAAACAACTAATTTGAAATACTTGGAAGCACCACACTAGAGCTGCACTGATAGAAACTTGAAGAGCTCTATGGAGCGTGGTAGGGGTTCTGGCATTCTCCTGGAGCACACAAAGAGAGAAAAAGAGAGGTACAAAGTGGTGAAGACTCTCCAGAGTTGTTGCAGTGGCTTCATCTTCAACACTTGCCGGACATTGTCAATAGTGATTTGCTGAAGGATATCATGCCTCTGGTGTCCCTGTGGTCCTGTTTGGCTCCATCATCGAATATTTTTTTTAATAAATAGATGTAAAATCTCATAGTCATAATCTGGAATCAGAGGAAATGGCTTTAATGTTGGGTAATTTTCTACATCACAAATTTTGAAGTGCTCTGGTACATTGTGCACTGATTTTGAAAGAGAGGGCAAGAGCGGATTTGATTTGTCATGACTGGCGTTCTACCAGACTCCATACCCTGCTCTGTTTCTAACTGTGTTATAGTTGCCACTGGCCTCAAAATTGCCAAAAGCCTGTCAAAATTCAGCAACTCACAGCATGAGCGCACTGAGCGGCACTGATCTACTATTAGTATAGTACTAAGTATATACTAAGTGTTAGGTACTAGCTCTTCACAGACAGTAACAGACTACAACATATGTGAATAAGAAACTGGACTTGACAACAGTGTGTTTGTTTCTTTTCACACAGGGAAAACAAAAAATTCTTAATTTAATTAGAATTAGGAATTACCATAACATAACTTTAAACAATATTATTAACATTTTATCATATGTTTAAGGAATGAAAGGGCACAGAATGTTGATTTATTTGAGAGCACAAATTCATAGTCAGTAGTCAGTTTATTAAGTCGACAGAACATTTATTAATGTCAGAGCATGAATTAGTCATTTATGTGCACAAATGATTTATTTTATTTTCTCCACAACAACCACCAGGTTCTGTACTAATCTTCTATTGTGGTTGTTGCTAAAGGTTCCATATGTGTGAACGGGTTGTAATGTAACAAAACATAAGACCGAACCTTCCTGGTTGCCTGTGGATTGATTTGTGTTTCTATGTAAGGATGCTGGGTGGATTATATGTGAAAATCCAAAGGATGCTGCAATTATGCGGGTTCCCAGGTGTCCTCTCTCTCCACCTCCCTACAATGTCAACAGTGTGCAACACTAGCTAATGTTAGCTTACAAAAGAAGTCAGCTAACGTACATAAACGGCCAACATCCACCACAATACAACGTCCACAGTCTGAGCTAACATTATTGCATTGCTTGTGAAATATAATGGGATATTATGGGTTTTAGCTGGCTAATGTTAGCTTGCTTGCTAACGCAGATGAATTGCCAGCTAACTAACATAAATAAATTCTCTCAGCTAACTTCATCCAGACTCCCTGGGCTGATCTGGATGGTTGCCTGTTTGCAGGTTACTTTGTTGGCCAGCATTTCCGAGGCAGTCAGCATCAGACAACGTTATTCTGTATGGCTAACCTTTCCTTGCTTGCTCGCTAGTAAAATACAATCTGAGTGGATAGGCTAACGTTAGCTTGCAAAATTACTTGACCAGCTAATGTCCATGATACTAACTTATGTATTATGACAAACGGTGTTGATTTTAGCCAATAGATGATGTAATGGTACAAAGCTAACAATTTACTAGCCAAGAGCGATGCAAGGCATCCAGCTATGTAGCCTAAGCTGAACTGGTTGGCTGGCTGTGACTTGGCTGCACAGTTTTCTGAAAGTTACATAATAGAACCTTTCATTTTAGCTAATCATGTTGTTGTGGTTATCATACTAGTAAGCTAGCTATCTGTGGTCAACAGTGAGCAAATCACTCTCATATTCTTTCTTGTTCATTAAGTTTCTTTGCCCCTTCCTCCAGGTCCCACGGAGGCTCCTCATTTGAGGAGGGACGCATTCCTCGGCGTCACGCCTCCATCCACACCTCAATGGACTCAACACGATCCAAACAGCTGCTCAGCCAATGGAAGAATAAAAATGATAACAGGAAGCTGTCCCTGCAGGTGATGGATGGAATAAGACCAACCTCCTCCTCATCTCCCCAGAGGAACATGGAGCTACGCTGCTCCTCTGAACCTTCTGCCATGGGCCTAGAGGCAGAGCTCCGTGGTGGAACACACCTGCCTTCAGTCACTGGTCAGGAAGCAGAGCTGCGTGCTGGGGCCCACATCCCAGCTCAGTACATGAAACTAGCAGCAAGCTCTGTTCCTATGGCCAATCATAATCACCTGGCACATAATGGCAGCACCGGGTTGGCTGGTGGGGCCAGAGTGTCTATCCAATCACGACCTGGGTCTTCCCAGCTGGTTCACATTCCTGAAGAGGAAAATTTCACCAGCAGAGATCAGGAGAGTGAATCAGAGGACAGTATTATGGATGGGGGCGGGTCAGTGAGGGAAAAGTGGCTGAGAGTGGCTGAGAAGACCACCATCCCCTGTAGGCCGCTCAGTGCTGGAGGACAGCCTCGTCTAATGCAGGTTAATCATTCTTTTCTTTACCTTCCTTGGTAGCTGCATGGTTAGGATGCATACCACATAACTGCGTCCCGAATCAATTTGGCTCGGATCCTCGTTGCTTGTTATACTTTTCTCTCTACTCTGCGTAATGATGATAAACTTTAGTTGTAGAAACAAATTAAATTAATAAAGCAATTCAAGTTTTTGTTACATTACCTGATTTAGAAGATGCTTTTTTCATAGCATTACTAGTTGATAGGTACAAGAGCTAGATGTCATCTAAAATCCTAAATGTATCCCTCTCAAACAACCAAAAACATGTCCAGAATACTGGAGTTCAACAACTTTTATTTTTATTTTAAGTGCTAGCAGGTCACGGTCGAGGTGAAGTCTGAGATGTTGGGTTTTCAGACTAGCACACTTTTATCAGTGGTGATGGACAGGTCTCAGCAGAGGCTTCCTTTCACCTGAAGGAACACAGGTTTGTCCAGGTTGAGCTATAGGTAATGCCTTGACATACACTATGTGCCAGGCAAGCTGTGATACGTGCATCATCAGCATAGAGGTAGGAGAAGCCACATGAAAACACCAGGCATCCTTGTGTAGAAGGTGAAGAGAAGAGGGCCCAGGATGGAACCTTTGGGAACACCTGTTCCTGCATCATTTAGACGCTGATCCTTTCTACTAAGAGTGACTTGTCAGGTTGAATACAAACAGAGAGAGTGCAGAGCCCCAACCTTTTATGGGTTGAGAGGAGGATCTGGTGGTTTACTGTGTCGAACAGTAGACAGTTCTGATGGTTGATCATACTCTGCAGTCTTCATCAGCAGATGGAATGCTCAGTCACTGAACTGACAACTTCAGTTGGATTTTGTGGCAAATGGAGTAGTGCAAATAAACAGAGCTTTTAGTGCTGCAGTACTACAAGATGTCACCTATATCCTTGAACTCTTAAAGTCAATATGCTTCAAAGGCTAATTCAACAATTTATGTGATAAGATCAGCAGTTTATTCTAAAATTGTATAATTTCAATGCAGGCTGTATGTTTTGTGGACAGCTGCAGTCATAGCCTTTTGCTGAAACCTTAATTGTAGCAGTAGCACCCCACATACAAGAAGAGCAGGTTAGTCTGTAATGAGTAAGTGTCCCAGCAGCAACATTTGGAATAGCTCACATTTCACCGTCATCCTCCTGTTCCAGGTGATAACCTTATCCAAACAGCAGGGCCTGCTGCACTCTCCTCGGTCGGAGGATGGTGGCAGCACTGTCAGCTGCACCGGATCCATTCGGTACAGAGCTCTGACGGACCAGGATCCATCACCACCGGCCTCCACCACCGGAGCAGTGGGAGGAGGAGGTCTGTGCTTCTAATAGAGTAATATATACAAACATCAATGAGCCACACTGTTGCACTGGGTGACAGTTTTCTTTATACCACGAACACACACACTAGTTTATTTTGACTTAATTCTACACACACCGTCCTGCTGCCCCAACTACTCAAATACTCACTTTTTTCAAAAATGAAGAATATGGCCATCCTTATCCTTACAGAGATAATAAGATTATTATTGATTTATTTGGTCTTGTTCTCTCAGGAGGAGGTTTGGAAAGATCTGGCAGTATAGTCCGTGTTGAAGCTCACCCAGAGTCCAGATCACACAAACCTGTGGTGAAACCCCCGAGCACCGATGGAAGTGGCTCCTGGCGATGGAAGCCCCCAGACCAACGACCTTCACTTCGGCAGTCAGCTTTCGCCCTCAATGACCTGAACAGACACACGGACAGCTGTGATTCGCTAAGGGATGGAGGGTCAGTGGATGGGCGGAGGAGCGTGACAGGGACCGAAACAGAGAGCGAAGGGGGAGGAGACGGAGGGGGAGGAGGAATAGGAGGAGGGGGAGGGGGAGGAGGAGG